TGAAATTTTTTTTTAAAAAAATCATGCTTATCTTGGTTGATTTTTACACCATTGGGAGGTATTTGCATGAAATCGTATCTCTTTCTCTTTTCGGTTCATTATTCAAATAAAGTTTCAACTTTCAAAATTAGTTTCGTTTAAATTACGCTTTCAGCCACTAGTTGAATGGGTATACGAAGCAATATCCCGATTACATCGACCGTTGATTGTATGCGTTTAGCCTGCTTTTTCATGTTTCGATAAATTTTCCAAAATTTACTTAGCACATTTATATACTTATTAAAGAAACGATTTCCATACACACACACACATTCTCTTTCTTCTGTTTTAATCATATTCCGTGCTCGAAGTTCTTATACTTTTCAGCATAATGCACCTTTTTCACTCATTCGATGAATTTATGTGCATGCAGTTACAAGTATTGCTTTGTTGGTGTTGTTTTTTTTTGCTTTCTTAAATAGTCTCTAATGAAAACAAACGATAAATGAAATGTTAGTGCTCATAATGCTTCAGAAGGATTATTAAAATGCTTGATGATGCGGTTTGTACGGCAAAGCCCAGATATACACAGAAATGTCATATAGAACAATGAATTATTCATTAGGCTCTTCAAACCGTATATGCGAACTCTAAATGTACATTCAGCCGTTGTGTGTACATGTTGTGTTCTATTTTGTGAGAAAAACTCGTAAACGAATGCTGTTTGATTAATTCATTGTTTCTTGCTCCACTTTAACACACTTCGATTGACGCGAAGTCGACTTATTTTCATTTCTCATTTGTTGATGTTATTGTTGTTGATTCTCTCTCTCTCTCTCTCTCTCTCTCTCTCTCTCTCTCTCTCTCTGTTTCTGGAGGTAGACTTTTTGAATCGCGTCACATCATTCGAACGATTTGAATTGTGTATTTTTTAATTCATTACTTTATGTTCGCCTTACGAGTTATAATTTACAATGTATGTTTGTACCAGGAGAGCTTTTGTTCACCTGAATATGAATTGCATTCCGTTTTTTCCCTCGATTTATAAAAATTCCACCGCTTTTCAATCACTCACAAGCATTTACTATGCTGACGATAATTTATTCCATTCAAATTTAATTTAATATATACATACATAAAACTACAATAATAACAAGAAAAAAAACCATTAGAATAATTCATTTCAATTAGATTGATTGATTATATTGAAAATAGAAATCGCTTGGTTTTTGTCATTTGACCTATTTTGCACGATCATTGTGTCATATGACTAACGGATTTTTCCTTTTACAGTTCTTTTTTTTTTGGTGAAAAATCGCAATTTTGATTGATGGCTTGTAGACTGAACACAACGGCAAAAATTTCAAAGCACAATAACAATGTCCTTTCTCTAATTAGAATTAATTTCTGTTGACATTGAGCATGGCACACAAAAAATGAATTATGATTTCCTTTTGTTTGGACATTCGAACATTGAATCTAACAACTTGTGAGAAAAAATTAGTTACACGCAACAAGGCGCAAAAGTGCGAAAAACATGCACAAAAGCCAGAGCAAATGACGAAAAAAAATTTATAATAATCGACACCAATTTATGTCCTTAGAACGTTCAGATTCACAGTTAGCATGAGTAGTCGAATACTTTAACAATGTAGTTGCCAATAGAATAGCCACGTTATCTATCAGAAACAAGCTTGAAAAATTACATCCATATATGAATTCCATATGAGAAAACACAGTAATCTCTGTTTCGGAAGGTAACAATCTCTTGGAATTTCCAGGTGCGTCTACAACGTACAATAAAAAAATTATTTCCAAAGCATTATGATGCAAAAACTCGACCTATTAACTTCTGTCAGCTATTGCCATGCAAAACTATTTAAAAAAAAAATCTGATTTAATAAAATCCATTTAAAAACAATTAATGTTGATTGGCACTGTGATTAGTACGGTAAACCAAAATTCTCGAAAAACGTAAAAAATTCTTCCTAAATCCCGAGAAAAGTTTACAAAAAAGCACCTGAAATATACTCAATGTTTTTCCAATAAAATATTGATTTGTATCGTATTTGGCTTTAAATTTAAAAAAAATGGTGTGAAATTTCTCCCTCTTGTATATTAATGAGTTCATGCACCTAATCCATATAGCTTTTTAAGTGCCTGGTTACAAGGAAGAATGTCCGTAATTTCTGTTTTGAAAACAGTCGGATTCCCATATAAAACTGTACTACCATGTAGCGGTGGTAGTTGTTTCATTTAACAATGAAAATATAAAAAAAGTGTTCGGTTTGCTTGAGTGAAATGTGGACGTGAGCGCAATTAACCCCGACTTTTCGTATGATTCTTTGTTGAAATGTTCTTTCAATTGTTTTATTTTTACAACAAATGACATTAAAAAAATGATTTTTTTAAAAAATAAATTCAAATGTAGAAAGTTTGTCCAAAATCCCGCACTCCATTTGAATGGAAATTTAAATGTGTACTGATGGTCTTGGTCTGAATTCAAAAGTACGTATATTCTCATCTTGGTTGCTGGCAGCAGTAGCCGATACAAAAAAAAATGGCAACGAAAAAAGGCGAATAAAAATTGAAATGGAAATGAATATGAGAATGGAGAGCTGGCAAATTATTCTGGACAAATGAACGACATGAAGAATGAGAAAAATGAATGAACTGGAATCTGGTCATGCCTTCGGGCCAATGTACACAAGCGTATTAAATATATACATTTCGAAAAGCTAATCGTACAATGTATACTCAAGTGATTCTGCAGCAGAGTGAACGCTTTAAATTTCTAGTAAATCAATATTAAAACGGCAAAACGAACAAATAAAAAGTGGGTAAGAGAAAGAAAGATAGAACGAGGAGGGGAGAGAGAGAGAGAGAGAAAGACGGAATAAAAACAACTGAACAAACTAATGAAAAATATAGCGAATTACAAGAGAGAAATTATGTAGAACGAGAAAACATAGAAAAAAAAAAAAAAGAGAGAGAGAGAGAGAGAGAGAGAGAGAGAGAGAGAGAGAGTTGAGCAGATGAAGAACCACAAAACAATGTAGAAAAATATGTTATTCTATTCAATTTTCCAGCAATGGACTAGTAACTCAAGAATATAAAGCACATAACGTGGTGATTTTTCTCTTTTCATCTTCGTCTGTTTGTGGGTTGGCACTGTTTTTGTTGTTGTTGATGCTCTTTTTTCCGTGTCATTAAGTGGAAGCGCTTTAGAAGTTTTATTTTCATGCTATCGCTTTTTTTCGCTGCCCTTTTCTTCTCCGCTATCGTTTGTTTATAGTGCTTTTAATGAATGTGAAGCACGTACCGATTTCTAAATGTCTTGCATTCATCTATGTATCCCACATATACTAGAAAAATGTTCTACTTACTATCATTTTCCATTTGAATAGAAAAGGAGCCGCCACATAATTGTTCGTGTACATTGTGTATACATTGTCAAATTTTTGTTATCGCTATTGGTGTTGAAACAAAGCTATTCATTTATATCAAACAATTTTAAACGAGATACTTCTTAGAAATGTCGAAAAATATTTCGAATTTTTTTTTTCAAACTTTAGATGAAATTAGACTTATTGTTTATCCTACATAAATGATCGATGAATCCAGTGGGATCACCACTCACAAACATTTTATTCAAATTTTTCGAGCTGGTCCAGTGCACTGCTGGAAAAATTTGTTAAATCAATGTTTTTTGTATGATTCGTCAATGTTTTGTCAGCTCAAAAACATTATTTCAACGCATTTTTTCTGCAATCCCATATCGAAATCAAAAACACGACAGTATTCACTTTTTCGTGGTCACAGCGTTTCGATACTATAGAAGCATATACAGATATACAGCGATTAAGAATGTTCCAACTGCAGCTGGGTCCGACCAACAATCCACTGCCATTCAGTTGAATTATTTTTTGCGAAACACTTCATCACTCTACACGTTTCTCTCTCTATCTCTCAGTTGAATCCAATGTTCCATACTAGGCTTGTCGGATTTCGTTTCTCTCTCGTATTTCATCTTGCATATGCCATAATTTGAAATTGTTGTGGACTTTCATTGCGACATCACGTTGAATTCACATTTTTGACCTCTACATTGCAGTATCACTTTTCATGCTCACATTGAATTTGCCATCAAATAATCCATCAATAATTTGTGCTTTTACGTGAAAATATAAAAAAATCTCAAACTATGTCATTTGCAAGATAAAAACGAGCGAAAAACGAAATCCGACAAGCCTTCTCAATACAACACTATATATAAATCGAAAACTTTTAAAATGTCAATTGTTTCAAACATATTTTTAATTACTTGCGAAATTGCTATCATTAAAACGTGCGCTTTTTCTTCATTCAGTTGCTTTGTGTGAGAGAGTGTCATCGCATTATATTGAAATGACAATCGGTGTGCGTCTGCTTGTTTCATTCAAATATTCTGGTCGACGGCTTTACGAGATCACATTGACGATGTGACATGAAAACAGAACAATATAATATGCAAAAATTCAAATAAAAACACACAGATAAATTTGAAATGAGAAACACGAGAATTGTTATGTCATGCACAAAAAAACACAAGCGCTTTCCCCACTTTTTCATTTCAAAATTTTAACAAGCAAAAGTCCACTGTCATTAGATGGAATTGCGCTTGACATCATCGCATTTCTGCAAAATGGTTCTCTACACTTGCCCATTTTATCTACTGTTCTGCATTTTGTAAAGCAACAGAAACAAAGAAATGTACATCATTACTTTTTCGTTGTGTTGAATTTGCATGGAAACAATTTCCGCTGAATGTTATACCATTATTTATCCGTATATGTTGGTATTCCAGATGAATTTATAGTTACTTTTTTTTAAAAAGCTTTTCAATCTCATTCTCCATTTTTTGGTTGAAATTTCGCTCTACTTCCCAATATTTTTTGACATATATTGTTTATTGGTGTCAATATTTTGTAGTCGGCTACTTTTTAAGTATTAATGCAGTTTTTTTGTCATTTTATTTACAGAGATGAGACGGGTATCATCATCATTATCATCAATACCCTTTCAGCAATGAGACACTGAATTACTACCAAATGGAAAATTGATTGTCAACATTTCAAGCAGAACAGCAACGACGTCGAGGTTGACAACAATAGCAACATCACCATCAGAATGATATGCATGCACATAAATCAAATAACAAGCAATGTTGTTGACGCAGACTGCATGCAACAATTATTCATTTTTAATTATCTGAGCAAATACTAAAAAGTCTTTCTTACAACAAAAAAAACCGGAAGAAGAAAATCCAAGAGCCAAGCAAGAAACTCAATATTTTGAACGAATTTAAAAAATAAAATAAAATAAACGTAAATCGACAACGTTTGATCGGTGACAACAATACACAATAAACAGGAAACGACGAGTGAATAGAATACAAATATTCTATAGAGAGTGTGTTTGTGCGTTTGACGTGGGTGTATTCACCCCGTCACAAAACCACCACGTTTTCCATCTCAACAAAAGCGACGGTAGCGAGTGTTCGTCACATCTATAAATCGGAAGTTTTGATAAATAATTCCCAATACAAAATCTACGTTGAAAGCCATTGAGTAATTGTTGGTCATCATCTTCCGATGGTATTACATCAACGAAGCGATCAAATAAAGGATTGTTCAATTAAATTACCGCTGGATATTCCGTGAGTACTCATCACATTCTATCTTTATATCATTCACACATGCACCAATGTGTCTCTCGATTACGAAATAATTGATTTTAATCGGGTGTCCAATTTAATTCACTTTATTTTTGCTTCTCGATTCTCACCATCTCTCGATTCTTTTGATTCGATGAATTCATCAAATACGTTGCTTCGTGATTTTCAAACGATTGAAATTGCCATGCAAGACACACAATTTATCACATTTACTTAGGGACAAAATTTCATTAGGAAACTTGTCCTCTAATCCAGATCGTAACAATGTAAAGACGAATAGAAAAAAATCAAAAGGTTCGAAATGAAAGAACGAGAAAAAAGATTGGAACATGTACTTCCTGCATCGTGACAAAGAATAATTTGGAAAGAAAGAGAAATGGAAGATGAAAAACAGAATAAAATGGAGATGTAGAAACAATAGCGATTCCGTGAGACAGGAACAAATAGTTCCAATGAAGTAGATTAATGGTATAGATGCGTCACGTTGCCACTACCATCAGCGAATGCTCTCTTCTTCTTCTTCTTTCGACAGTGAATCTCTTTCTCTCTCTCTCTCTCTCTCTCTCTCTCTCTGTGTGTGTGTGTGTGTGTGTGTGTGAATACCGACTACACTGGAAAGAATATGTCAGACATATTTCGTTTCAATCATTTAAAAATTCCCAAATGATTGAGAAGCGTATACATTAAAAATATAGCTCATTTCATATGTAGTACATTGGTTGACAGTAACATTTACGTTGAATGAATCCGAAATGTAAGCACGATTTTCCAACCAAACCCCAAACGAAGCTTACTCTTGGAAAGTTAAACTGATGTAAAGTCAAGCAATAGCATGCCAAAATCAAAACGTATATATTGACCACATAAAAGCGGTTCTATTTTTTCCCTTAAAATTTCATTTTCATGCACACCACACACACCACACAAAAGTAGCTTTCTATTCATTGTATGACTACGACCAACAGAAACAATCAGAATTTTAAAAGAGAAAGAAAACACAACAAAAACGTCTTGGTAAATTGCGATAAAAAGGACATTCAAGGTTATTTCAATCATGATTTTTCCGTTACTTGGAGCTCATCATGGTTGGTTAGAATCGCGCTCTTCTGCATTTTATTTTATGGTTTGTTTACATACGATAAATGATTTATGTAGTATTATTTAATTTAAGGCGGAAAAAAAGAGGAAAATATGGGATGCGATCGCATAATGCAAACATCGTGTTTCAGCATTAAGTGATCGACTGAAAGTGATGAACCACACACAGAGAGAAAAAATTTGGTAAATGTAAAGGGTAATTTGTAAGTTTAATATTACTTTACCAAATTACCGTACGAATTCTACCATTTTGTCATATTTTCAAAACAAACGACACGAACAAATTAAATTTACCCCAGCATAATATTACGTTTACCAATTGCCGCGTAGCAGTCAAAACATACCTAACGTCGACATTACATCGTATTGTTCACAACCTACAACATGTCTAATTGCGTGAACTTTTGTCCGCAAAAAAATAAAAGCGAAGAGATCAAATCAGAATTGGGATTGGCAAATTTTAATAATTTGTATATGAATAATACAGAAATCGTCGATAAAAGTGAAATCAAAATCGTCGAATTCAGTACGAAGAATTTAATAACACAGTCGATGATATGTCGACGTTAGGTATGATTTGACTGCTACGCGGCATTGGTAAATGTAATATTATGCTGGGGTAAATTTAATTTGTTCGTGTCGTTTGTTTTGAAAATATGACAAAATGGTAGAATTCGTACGGTAATTTGGTAAAGTAATATTAAACTTACAAATTACCCTTTACATTTACCAAATTTTTTCTCTCTGTGCATAATCAACCAAAGCTCAAACCTGAAACATGTACACCTCATACACACACTCAACTTTGTTCATTTTTTTCCACAACGATAGTATGTTCACAGTTGAAGAGCTTATATGAGAGAAACAAAATGAAATGTTAAATCAACGAGAGATAAAGATTGCCACAGAAAAATGAAATCATCAGTAATTATGTTCTGTGTGAGAAAGAGAGAAAGAGAAAGAGTGTGTATGTTAAAACAGTACAAGTCAGTTCTTTGAATCTTTTATCTATCGCTAACAACCACTAAAGAACCGAAAAAGGATTAACTACTGCATGCATAGAGTAATTGAGATTTTAAAGTTTTCTCCATGAAACATGAGAGATAGTGAACGAGCTACAAAGCCAAGCAATGTGCGATGATTTTTCATGCTAAAAACTTTGTATATTTTTTTAAAGCCATCGTCTCACTCTGTATTTGCTGTGGTCTAATTTGCTAGATGGGAACGAAATGCTAGACAAAGAAACAGAAAGTCACACAAAAAAATACAAACGATGCTCAAGTTTGCATTTATTAAAATGTCAGTATTTCCATGTATTCAAGGTGCATATCGTGAAATGGAATTAATTTTTTTTAACGCAAAACATGCATATATGTATAACATAACCAATGGTATACGTTAGAATCGTTCGTAAGACCAGCGCAGAACTGTTGTTTTGATCGTTGCAATGGAAGTATTGTACGGTATTGTATAACGAAGAAACGGAATAATGCATGATAACATTGTATTCAATGACGTGATATACTCTTCTTAAGACACCAACATTTTTGATTTGTACACGCAATATGTTTACACAAGTAAAAATTCAATTTATACGAACAAGTGTCTTAAATAACTTTATTACCGCATTTATGATTTACGAAAATAGCAAAGTTATATGAAAACATATTACTCACTGCACTTCCGTTTTTCTTCACATAAATTCATTAATGGCTTCATTATCATTATCTACATTTCAGAGCTTGCAATCATGCATTTAAGTTTCTGTGACTTTGTTTTGTGACCAAAACCACAGATGTGAATGTCATTTGATGCAAAGTAATATTTATAAATAGCCAAAACTTATTATGATCCATCTTATCGACCATACTATTCAGTATACCCGATTGACACTTGTCTCATTAATTGCCTCTACAACAAAGTATCAAATGGTCTCATAAAGAGTCTTATTTAACGAACTGAAAAGAAAAAGTAAGACGGACTCTTTTTTAATGTCGCCATTTTTCTAATTGAACATTAATCATCGGGATGTAATATAATAGACACACACACACACACACACAGAGAGAGAGAGAGAGAGAGAGAGAGGGTTTAAAAGTGTGTGTCAGCTAATCGCTAGTGATATATTTATTCCATGGGGTTATCCACCATTGGTGGACCACCAATCTAGTTTTTCTAGTGCGTGAAATTTGGTCTTTTGGTAGTTTGACGTACAAATAGTACATTGATGTGAAGTTATGTGCTAGTTTTTACAAGTGGTTTTCTAGTTTTCCAGTTTGGTTTATTCAAAATAATGTTCACATTTATTCACAAAGTGATGAATTGTTAAGAATGTTTTAATTCAATTTATTTTGAATGTATTGATTGTTATAAGCAGAGCAGTTAATCAGTTGTTTGAATGTCTGCTGATATTCACACAGCCGCTGGCGCTAATCGAGCTGCTCTGAATACAGTTCATGATATTTGTCAACATTGTGATATTATAAACAGATTTTTTTCGGTTACTAAATGTTATGAGAATATTTCATATTATTTATTAAATAATATTTAACTAAACTGATCTTTTTTACCCCACTCCAATCTCACTTTCTTTCTTTGGATCGTACACTGTACGTATATGGTATTGCATTTCACAGCCATATTGTTTGTAATCACAAAAAATTGCATTTTAGTACCTCTCTAGTAAAACGCCATTGATAACATAAGCGAATTTGAGACAGAGAGAAAGATAGAGAGATGTGTAAATGGAGTAGCAATTCGCTTTTGTGCTACATAAACAATAAACAATGTGTTAATCCCTGGCAAAATATACGTGGATGGTTTTCAGGTGCAAAAGGAGTGGCTTATATTGTTTGAATAATAAACATTGTTCAGTTAGCACCTGATGTTGATTTCGTTGTGAATGACATCATTTAGTTCAATGAACGCAAAACTAATCCTGTACATTTCAAGTTGAAATCGTTGTGTGACTACTAATTTTGATGAGAACAGAAATCCAGTATCTGTAATTGAATAGTGGATGTTCTTCTCTTTTATATAATCGAGCCTAATTGGAATGTTTGCAGCCAACTTTTAACCGGTATTCCAATTTGTAAGAGTATACAAACACAGCCATTTCATCATCTCATATTCGCTTCGTCGCTTTTCAATATATTCACATGTAAATTCAGTTTGGTCCAATTATATGGATATATTACTCTGAATTGACACAAAATAATTTATCAAATAATATTTTAAAATATTCGAATGAAAAACGATACATTGATTTTTGACTTGCTAGGATTTTTCAGTAAAATCATTTTACCAAAATGGAAAATGAGAAGGTGTTTCAAAAAAAAAGAAGCATTTCCTCATCAATCAATGGATTTTTATGTACTTTTAATAGTTCGAATTCTGACCCATTTACACACTGAAATTAACAATGTGCTATTACTGTGGTTCATTGGATAAAAAAACTTCTTTAACTTTTTCTCAGCGGCCATTGTTGAACTCAATCCATATTTTGTAAACTTTTCACTTTTCATCATTTTTTCGTTTGTGTGTGTGTGAATATTTTCCAAAACTTTTTTCAACGATACTCACGCAAATGTAGTTTACATTCAAATTTCCTTGCCTCAATCTAACATTCTTTTTACTACTGTGTACAATAAAAAATGGTTCAATTTATTATCGCCAACGCAAAAAATAAAAATGAAAGTCATGGCATTTGAAAATTCGGTTCTACCGTGGCAAAAACTTACAGCTCATTCTGCATTGTCAATAAGGAAAGAGAGAGAGAGAGGAGAGAGAGAGAGAGAGAGAGAGAATGAAACCAAGAGTGAATATTTTATTTGTGAAATATAACCACCCTTAAATAGAGAATTTCCATTGGGAAATGTACGATCAATTCATTTCACCTCTTCAAGAATATTAATTTGCTTTCATAGTGCCATGGCGCACGTTGTATATTTTGTGAACCATACATTAATCAGGAAAAAGAAATAAAACGCTCGCTTGAATTTTAATTCGCGTTTTCTATTTTCATAATTTAAATGGAATTTATATTGATTGAAACATTTAATAAGTAAATCGATGCAAATCACAATGATTCAACATATACGACAAAAGAATTTTTTTGAATAAACAATGGCTGAAATCGCTTCCATTTCAAATGCGTTAGCCTATATATGCCATAAATAATTCTTGGATTCCTATAATTTCCATTGACATAGAAATCACTTCCATCAAAAGCATTGTTCCAATTATTATTATGGAACTCACAACAAATGTGTTTTCACACATTTTTCAACTTGGGTTGACCAGTAAGGTATGTTGACGAAAAACTGTCTACAGCTTTGTACGACAAAAAAAGGTGAAAAATGTCGTTTTTTGGAAAATATTTTAGAAGTTGAAAAGCAATGAAAATATTTTATGGACCGTAATGAATATTCGTTAGAGGCGGTTAGATCAGTAGTGCAAAATTACCGAAAAATCTGAAAAAAAAAAATCATAATTTATTTCAAAAAAGCACGTCATTCCATCTTTTTTATGTCAAAAATCGAAAGAACATTTTATATACATTAAGAGGTCTTTTATTGTTGAGCCGCTGCCATTCGGACGCAGCGGCTGAATGAACATTTTCAAAACTTAATTCAGCTGCTGCGTCCGAATGCTATTTTTATTGGCGTCTGAACGTAGTTTTGGAAAATGTTAGTAAATAACTATTATCACCTTAATATTCTCACACAAACTAAATGCAAAACATGTCAATAAATGAAAAATGGGATAAAATCCACCAAATGCCATTGAACAGTACTATATTAACATTACATACAGTTTAAAAACGGCATATATACATGCCTCAATACCAGTTGTACGAAACCATCAATTTGAGTTTATTTCTGATGTTCATTTAAAAACCTCGTATTGTGATCAAAACATATTGTGTCTTGTCTAACCGCGTTAAATCCACAAAATAAGTTGTATTTTTTTCTGTGGTTTTCTGAATGGAATGCGGATGAGGTTTTTTCTCGTACACACATTGAGTCAATTTGGTGAATGAGAGAACTGAAAAATAGCATTCACATGAATCAAATACCACCTGCACCTGCACCTGCAACAGAGAAGGATATAGTAGTCTGGTGAAAATGAAAATGAAAAAGATTGAACTTTTTTTAAAACACAAAATGCAGTAATTTGTGTACTTTGAATCGTTGATTTGGTTTTTCTGTGAAATCGGTGTGTGTGTGTGTGTCATCGAAGAGATAAAAAAAAATATGGGTGGAGTCGAAGTTTAATTTAATTTGGTGTATGTGTCTCATTTCAGATGGTTAATCAAAACGGCAATGAGGCCGGTGGGCCCGTTTGATTCATCATCACCGTCCTTTGTACAACACAATGATTGCGTACTTGTTGTTGGAGTATCCCGTCCAAAATTAGCTGCTGCTTTTTTAACAATTATGATTATATCGTTGTTTTTAACATTTCATGTGCTATATGATAGCGCCATCTATAGCATTCAGGTAGGTTTTAATTCACAATATTTACATTCCATTTAATTTAGCTGCACAGACATTCGAGCTGCCATATTTTTTGTACATCCATTCATTTATTTACACATAGAGGAAAAAAATTGCGATGAAAATTTTAATAAAATTGTAGAGAAACAAACAAAACAGGTTGGACCAACATGTAAAAATGTAGTTATTTGATTGGTGACAAATATAGTGAGTGTTTGGTGTTTTCAATATTATCGTTATCGCAACCACAAAAAATATTCCCCGGTTATAGCACCGGTTGACGGTGTGAAGATAAAAATTCGAAAATGAAACCGAAAAAAGCTCCGCATTTAGAGAAGGAATGTGACGTGCAAAATATTCGATGAACTAAAACGCATTCGTTTGCTTGTTGACAATTATATTTATTTGATGAGGTGCAAATGCATACGATGTATTATAAATGTATGCCATACGTGTGTATTCCAAAATAGACCATGTATGAACGCCCATGTATGAATGTTTCAAAAATTAAATTACTTTTTGTAGTATTGTATTTACATTTGTGCACGCAAACTTTCATCCTTCGAGAACAAACAACGAAAATTGATCGCGTTTTCATTGAAATTTTCGATGCGTGCCTGTTGGTATGTGGGTGTATGCCAAATGTATGACTTTTCCCTGAATAAATATAATTTCATTAATGTGTCTGGCACACATTCTAATCGCATTAAAATTTATTTTTGTTATTTGATTGTTTTTCGTGCTCTCGTTTCATCATTTGCCGCACTCGCAGCACATAACTCTCGCTCTCTTATATTTTTGTTATCATTGCGCACCGGTTTTGTGATGATGTGTGAATACCATTGTGTATTTCGACCCGAAAATATTTTAATTTAAAAAGTTTGTTGTGTTTTATGTAATCGCCTGTATATGACAACGTGCACTACGAAAATAACGAAATTGTATCATTGCTACCAAAAAAATAGTAAAAAAATCGATTTGAGAGCGTGTTGAAAATGCGATTAAAATTAAATTTTGAAACGAATAACAAATCAATTAATACATATTTTTTTCTTCTTTTTGTATGAATGTTCCGCTGTTGCCGGTTTTAATTTTCAACAAAAATAGGCTGCTTCCAGTCCCAGTGCTTCGACAGATGATCGATTCTCATATCTATCGAATCAGATCTATGGACCGAATGATGCGACATCTGCAATAAAAAATTCAGTTGTTTTCCCTAGCAAAATACATTTTCCAAAAACAAGCAGAAGGCTTCCACAGGTAACCCAATTTCGTCAATTGCTATTTGCATCGTTTAGCTCTTTTGCATACAATTAAAATCTTTGTATTTGTATGTGACTAGGCACTGGTAATCGGTGTACGAAAATGCGGTACACGAGCGCTACTTGAGATGCTGTACTTACATCCGCGAATACAAAAAGCGGCCGGCGAGGTGCATTTTTTCGATCGTGACGAAAACTATTGGAAAGGTTTAGAATGGTATCGAAAAAAGATGCCGCATTCGTTTCGTGGTCAAATTACCATTGAAAAAAGTCCCAGCTACTTTGTCACGCCCGAGGTAAGTGCTATTGAATTATATTTATTCGTTATTTATATTTAGAATTTTAATTCAATTTATAAATTAATTCATTTTGATGAAATGCGTTTTTTTTTAATTATTTTGAGAAGTTTTTATGTTGAAATAAATGCAAATGGAGATTAAAAAAATTCTTGCAAAATATTGACAGTATATTGTACGTGCCATCGTCATTCGTGTGAAGTATCCATGTAAATTATAGGGTACTTTCATGGTGTAATGCGTTCTTTAGCTCGTCGTATGTTCATTGAATAAAATACTGAACGCTATCGCTCCCAATCGTTAATTATTAACTTTAACTTGTAATTCGTTTTGTCCCGTCGAATGCCATTCCTCTTTTTCAAATATTGAGCGAGAGAGAGAGAGTAAAAAATGCCGATTGCTTTCGGGATGGTGCTCAATAATTGATCAACGTAATAAAAAGTTGAAAGTAGTCATGTACGTTGTTAGCCGTTGTTACGAGAAATCTTATATCGGAATGGTCTCATTATCCATTTATCGATTTGGTACGAGAGACAAACACACAAATGAATTTTGTAGTACACACGCGACAAATAAATACGCTGCCAACAAGCATCGTGACAAGCTATTTTTGAAATGGAGGTTAATAAACGACATTCTATTTAATTTCTGATGTTGTTTCGTTGCATGCAATTCCACTGTTAATCCTTTTCTATTAAATATTAGATCAATTCATTTGCTACGTACGGTACGACGTCTAAAGACGATATGGCAGGCTATGCGAATCAAAAGTGCGATAAAGTCAGATAGTTTAACATTTTGGCTGTAAGACAACAAAGCGACACAAAATTCATCGCAAGACACAAATCGACTTTCGTTCACAATTGCACAAAATTAGCGTGACAATCTACATGCATCTTCTATGCCAGTTAAATTTTTAACCAACGACATTCAAATACGATCGTACTCAAAATGACATAACAAATATTTCCATTTCCCTTTACTAATCGTCGCTTTTCTATTCCATCGTCTGTTTCATTTTCTCTGTTATATCTGCCACTCTTCAGATATATTTAATGTCAGAAATGTGCATGCGAGATTTGTTTTGCATTCGATATCTTTTACTTCGTCGTTCTTCATTTTTCTTCACTTAATTTCAAATGAAATGTTGCTCAATTGAAAGTATATGTATATACAGTGATATGAGCTGTTGCATTGCAAATACATAATATATCTGTACACCTAATCAGAGCCACAAAGAGAGCTTTTTCACTAATTTCTATCTCAAATGTATATCTTGATTGCGTTATATATGCCTAAATTTCCGGTAAATATATTGCATTCAACTAGCTACCAGCTACCGACTCCACCTCAAATGGAAATGCACATTAATAAAAAAAAAAACGAAAGAAGAAATCAGACGAAACAAGTTTGAAATCTCGTTTGTACACCGTTTGCGCTCCAAGGAATACTTGCATGAGTGTATATGCGATATTCTTTCAGTTCAGGTCGCAACTACGGAGTGCGTGCCAATTTGTGCGGTAGATTTTCATTATTCGCACAGATGTGTGTGTGTGTGTGTGTGTGCAGGTGAAATGTAATTGAACTTTTTGCACGAGAATCAGGAATTACTCGCATACACAGACACATATGAGCTATCCCATAAGTTGATTAATATTCTCAATGTAGTTTGCATAGCAATGACTCCTATAACTGAAGCCACGACAGATTAATGTTTGCCAATGAGCTGGCATGACTTTTGTTTCATCCATCATCTCTCTGAAACATGCTTACTATTTTTGGTTTAAATTTACTTTTCATTTGTTCGTCGTTAGAGAGACAGAGAGAGAAAGAAAGGGAGCTGACAAATCTGTATTTTTTTTCATTCACCTGCTTCGATAAAAGTCACACGCGATTACTGACAGATTCTCTCAGTTTCCTCTTCTCTCTGTGTCGCATCATTTGCATGGTAATCAGTGAAATACATTTGAGGCGATGACTACGATGTCGACGAAGATGATGAAGCTGTTGTTGTTCCTGATGCTTTTGATGAAACACCCATCATACAGTGTATGCGTGTGTGTGCACACTAAATATTACACTCGTACTTGATTTTATTGACTTAAGACCTTGAGATCAAATTCAATAATACTTTAATGTTGCAATCTTTTTATTTGATTTTGTAATCATGGTAACGATTCGCTTGCGTTTACAAGTCAACGGTGAATATAATCCATGTATATATGTAATTTCTTTATTCGTTCGTTTTGATTGCGAAGCAGTACTTTGAAACAATTTTGTTAGTTCCATGTTCCTGCAATGGAATCGGCAATGCTTTTCAATTTTCACATTTCTTTGAGAAAAAAAATATCTGTCGTGTGCATATATTGAGATTAATCGAGCTGAATGAATTATTTTCTCTCTTCTGTTTTATATATGAGCAACACTAGAAATTGATTTTTCAAAGTTAGTTTTTTTTTCATTTATTCAACGAGCCAAACAGAACCTACCTATTGCAATATGCAAGTTTTTTTTTGTTGTTGGCACTTTCATGGAACTAACCTTGCTCACTACGAATTAAATTGGGAATTTTCAATTTTCAAAATCATGTGCACGCCATATACAATATAAACAGCCAAACAGAAAGTAGTCAATTTCCTACGATTTCTTATAATTTCCAAACACTTCACTGTTTTGAAAACTGAAGAAAAAAAGAAGTCTAATTCTGAGTACGTGAACAGTGCCGCCGTGCAAAAAGCCTCCGTGTTCGAATCAAGCGAAAAGATAAGTGTCTAGGTACGTGTAAAAAAGTTAATCATGAATGTCGGGGGTTGGCTGGCTGACTGGTTGTTATGTTATACAAGTTGCGTAAGTGTTTTAGACTTATGTGAACGTGAACATGGTTCGAGGTGCGAACTACATTAAAAGTAAATGAAAAAAATGCCATGTAAGACAAATATGATGGCATAGAATTTTTTACGACGACGTTTATGTTTACCGTGCTAAGGATTGCAAATATTATGCTCGTTGTAACGCTCATTTTTGCTTCGCTTTATTTTTGTTTTCTCACCTGTCTCCGATGCCCTGTCTCGATACATATATATCTGTGCCTTTTTCCCATTTCTTTATTCTTTTTCATATTTTGTAACAGAGTGTTTGTCGATCGTGCCTTTTTGCGTGTGTATGTTTATTTGTTAATGTGTGCATAATGTTTGTGAGCGAGCTCAAGTTTAGAATTTCCCGTCACTTTACTCGTCTCATCAACGTGCAGGCGAATTGCAAAAAAATACAGGAGCTGTTTACTTCGAATGCAGACGAAACATATACATACACACACACTTTCCAATTTATCTGTTCAATTTCTTTTTCTTCTTCTTCTTTTGAACTTATAACACATTGATTCATATTTCTATCTATAGAACGTTTTTTTTTCTTCGATCGATTTACACCGAATGAAATGTGAATCGAGTTTCGTATATTTGGTTTCATCATCGTTGCACTTCAGCATATTGTAAAGTTTTTACGCGCACGAGCACAACACAATAATAAATAATAATAATAATAACAACAACAACAAATTGAATATATAGTATATTCTCTTCATTTTTGCTCTTCATCCAATCGGGTGATTCTGCTTTTTTTTATTTTCATTTCTATCAAAAATGTTCGTATAAAACTCTGTATGTGTACTCCATACCGTATATTCGGTTCGTGTTAGCGCCGTTAAGTTTTCCTTTCAAGCGCGATATGAATTGATCAAAATATTTATGAAATATTATTGTTGTTTTGAAACTGGTGAATGTGTAATGTGTGTGAAACGTATGAAGATAGAAAAGCTTCAATGCGCTCACATGCGACATGGGCATATTAACGTTTTTTTATGCGGCGTTTTGCTTCCTATCGAACGCAAAAAGTGTTCATGTCGAAATATAGAAGGGACAAAATATAGACGAACACATGTAACTGGAGATGTTTTCCAAATGTAATTCTATATGGAAATGGGATGAGGGTACAAAATGTATGAAAAAAAAACAGACAGAATAGAACATGTACATGTTTACATTGATGAATGAAATTAGACGAAGAAAATTTGGGGCAACGTAAAATAAGTGCGGAGTCTCACAGGAGGAGCAGACACATGACGATCAAATGAAAATATGTTTATTTTCGTATAAAACGCAAATATTGCTACAAAAACATTTTCTCAACGCTTTTTCGCGTTCGGATTTTTTCTTCTTTCATTTCAATTGAAGAGCACATAACTAAAAGCAAACAGCATCGATTGAAAATGAAAGGTGGGAGGCGCGAAAGAACGAGAGATAAAAAAAACACGAGCAAAAACAGAGTGAAAGCCATGCTTTCAATTCAAATATCGAGCATTTCGACGGTCATTTTATTTTAAACCAAATTACGAGCGGCTTGTTGCCTTCTCACTTTTTTCAGGTCCGTTCAAGAGCAAAAAAAAATAAACATTAAAGTATGTGCTCTGTATTTTTTTTTTTTTCAAATCGTTACCATACAGACAGCAATTTCAATGGTGTTTTTGTGTGTGGTTTTTTTTTGTTATTCAAATATAATTTCAGCATTTTTCTACGCCTGGTTGCACAGATTTGTTTGGCCATTGCTATGTTACCATCTCGTTCCCTTTTTTCACTCGCTCCGGGAGCTTTTGCAAACATATTTTATAAGATAAATTATGTGTTGCATTATTTCAATGGCGAAGTTCTATTTCACACACACATAAGTAATGAATATGAATTCATTTTTTGTGAAATTTCATAAGCAGTTTATTAAAACTATACCTTTCAGACATTGCAGCACCAAATGATGACATAAAGTCTTGTCCAAAAGTGCCAATTTTGCCATAGAAGGCCTCGTGTCCGTATACATTGTTTTGTATCGATTATTCATTAATTATCACTATACATTGCAGCTATTATGTCTTCATATTTTTACCAAGAAAAGGCGATACTGACTTTCATAGCAAAATTGAAAGATTAAAAAAAACGATTTAAAAAAAT